ACGAAGAACGGTAGGATGTCTTGATGAAAAAATATGTGTCAAATTACTGTAAAAAGATACTTAATTTTCCCTTATTTTTCTCATGACGCTTATTGTGTGCAATCACTGCACCATTATTTTTATACATATTATAAATCTTTATCTATACAAATTGTAAATATTGCCCCTGCTAAATACGACATCTTTGTACAAGCATCTAAAAAAAAAAAAAAAAAACATGTTTTTGTCGCTTTAAACTTTTTTTCACAAATATATGTTACCAGTACATAAATACATTAATGATATATTAAAATGTATTTTTATTTGGAAACCATTAATCTACTTAATAAATTAAACAATTAAGTAATCTCATGACTAAAACAATGCAATTGTTTTATATGTACTAAGATAATATTTAGCTGAATGATAATTACGCTAAATGACAATGTATACTTAATTATAATTGTTATATTATTCTATTTTATTAGGAGATTCACCTCAACTATGTTAGCATAACTGCAAGCAGTCTGCTTAAGTGCTAAACACGAAACTTTGACCACGTTGTTTCCACTTCAAAACGTGAGTAAAAAAAATGTCATTATATATTCTTTAGTTGTGGTTTATCTCAACTTTTAGATGGCATTCGTTTTTTTATGATTTTGTCTTGCATAACCTTGAAAAACACCAACTTAAATAAAATATGTGTTTTCAACCCAATCTTTACATTTTTAATACTTTTTTTCCTCACAGATTAAAAGATCAGGTCTTTTCACATACAGTAAATCAAAATCAAACAAGATCATAAATATAAGACTACACAACGTGTTATTAATTTGTTCTTCTTATTTTTCATCATTAACAGTATTACCCAAAAAGAATCTTGCAAGATTTAGAGGCATTTGACAAGACCTTGGTTTATGATAGTTATGTTTTACTAAAGGATTACAGCACTTAGCTATCGTAATGAAATCGTAAAAAAATTCTCGCGGTGTACGACTTCAAAGCCATTTGTGTACCACTACTTCGAACTGAAACATAATGCAACAGTATCAATGTTGTAAATTTTGTAAACCGAATTTTCAAAGACAGATTTTCTACCTTTAAAAAACTAATAAATTTTATTCAAATAGGCAAGAATTATTCATTTATGAATGTGTTTCCTTATGCCATCATTTTGCTTAACAGACACGTAATCTTTTATGCCAGGTATAAGTCGGCTTGTTTAATCGTTTTCATAAAAACGTTTTACTGCAATATCCAAATTTTCGGAGATCACTTCAACTTTTTTCTTTTTGGGAACTGAAAATATACCTTATCAAGACACAAGCCCTTATGCTGTACGAACTTTTTAATAAGTAAAAGAAGACTCTCTTATCAAATCGTTTCGTAACCAGAAGTCTAGGGCAAGTGTAGGTATAAGAATCATATCTTGTTTCGAATTTGATTCCAAAAATTATTTTTTATTTATTTCAAAACAGCGACCCCAGCTTAGTGGTACTCATCTTTACATTTTACTTTTACTTTTTGTATAGAGAAGTAGAAAGAAAGTCAGATTTACGTTCGTAAATTTGATAACTGCAACACTTACAGATTCGGGCTCCTTCGGGTATTTACGGATATTTATTCATCTTACTCTCTGAGAATTTAACTGCTTTGAAGTACTGCTTGAATGATTAGTTTTACTAAAAAGATTTAAACATCATGGTCATCAGATGACTATAGTACTAATAAATAAAGTAAAAACCTATCTTAAATAAATTTCACTAAAACGTATTAAATATCGAAAGTTTGTATGAATACTATAAATTTAAGGCTTCAGGCGTTGATTAACTTCAGTAACAATAATAACAATAAAAACGGTAGATATACAAATTGGTTGTTGCATTTAAGGTCGGTAATAATTTGTAAACAAACAGACATAAACGTGCAGCGTTAGGTTACACTAGGCCGTGTACGCAGACTGCGCCACCACGCGACATCTACTTTATCTTTTTATATCTCAAAAGAAACAGAACAAACCCAGTATTTTAAAAATTGCTATACTGACGTAAGAAATCCTACTCTTTCCATTGGAAGCATGGAAAAAAATATTAAAAATGCTTTTTTCTGAGAAAAATGCTATTCATTTTTGTTTTTTATATTACATTCATGTTTTTAAAAAAATTTAAAAATTCCATCAGAAATTGGAGAAACAAACTTATCGATCTTATTTATTTATAAGTTTTTTCAAGTCTATCATAATGCCACAATCGAGAGCTGGAAACCGATTGTTTTAGCAACAACGAGCTGTGCTAGAAGATTTAACGTGAAACACCCCTTATGTTACGAGCAAGTAACATCCACTTTTATATATATAAGTGTATGAGTTAATTTGCTTTTAAAATTTGTATATGTATTAACTATAACAAATCTTATTCGAAGAAGCAAAGGAAGCAATATATCTCAACGTAGTTTGATGATGAAATAAATTTAAAAATACAATAAAATGTATATGCATTTGTGGGTCATTTTTTCACACACCACACAAAATGAAACCAAACATGACTGACCCATTTTTAATTTTATTTAAACTTTTTTCACGGGTTCTATGATAAAAAATTTCTGAAACTGATGTCTTTTTTTTTTTTTTTTTGTAAATATAGAGGGTTGAAAATTTGAGATTTTGGTGATTTTGGCTTGAAAACTCACTTTCAAAAGTCTATATAACTCAGGTTTTCTTAAAGCTAGAGCGCAGTAGTAAGCCATCGATTCTACTGTCTTGGTGCGAATATTCATAAACAATTATACACGAATCGTTTGAATAAATAACTTTTTTTATACAACTACAGCACATCTTTTTATACGCGCATGTGTGCGAATATTATTATATAGTTGCTACACTGTTGGGACACAAGCGATGAGCCTCTTGCTTTCCATCGCATAGCACTCTAACAATATGAACATGCAGGCAGCAGCACTAGAACAATGGTGCATCACTGTACGACTATCCGATGCTACTGTGCATCAACAATTTTGGCAGCCCACTTTGCATGCGATATGGACGCGCCACGCAACCAGAACAGGCGAACAGCAGCACCATAAGTATTAGCACGCTGCTATTGGCTCCATGCATACACCGTGCTGCCCTCATTTCATACCCCCAATCCATGCTAAATCTTATCAAAACAAACAGTACCCGTGGCAGCCACCAGCGGCACCATACTCCCGTTTCCATAGAACTCCGTGATAAAGTGACAGCCAGCGCCAGCCCCCCCCCCCTCTAACTTCATGCACAGAACCAA